GCAAGGGATCCCTTGGAAAAGTGGGAAGAGCCCGTGCTGCCCCTACCCCACATCGTGCAGCACAGGGAATGTGGGATGGCGTGACACCATCACCTGGATTCCAGGCTCCCTCCGGAGCTCCTTCCCTGCTCCCTTCTCCATGGACAAACCAACTGCAGCGCCTTGGTGCTCCCAAAATGGGAACAGGCTCGTTTTGGGAAGGCCACAGCAACAGCTGGATGTGTGGATGCGCTTCCCCCTCAACAGAAAAGGGCAGGAAAGGAAAAGGTGTTAAATCCAGCAGCACCTGAGCGAGCTGGAACAATCTGGGAATGGTTTGGGAACGATTTGGGAACGGCTCTCCTGGGAAGCTCAAGGGTGGTGGTGGAGCTCAGGCTCTGCTGGTGGAGCTCCAGGATGGGGCTGGACACCCCTCCAGGCCGTGTCCTGAGGTATCCAGGAGTTTTTGGGGCTGGGAGCAGAACGAGGAGCCCAAACCTCCCACCCACCCCACCGGAGCGGCGCCGATCCCGCCGGAGCCGGGAATCCAATCCCCTCGTGCCAAGCACCCACGGGATCCCTCCTCTCCTGCTCCCAACGCTCTCAGTGCCCCCCCAGACCCCTCCTGTCACCCCTCGGTGCCACCGGCAAGGCCGGGCTCGCCAAAGGGGGGGGTTCGGGGCCGATCCCGGGGCGCATTCCCGGATCCAGGGCCGTCGGGAAGCGCACGCACGGCCGCACTCCATCCACCCACCCCCCCTCCCGTCCACCCCCGGAGCCGCTGCCAGCAGCACATTCTGCTGGAGAGCTTTTCCCCTCTCTTGGCTAATCAGCTACTGAAAGAAGAGCTCCCTCATCCCGCTTTCACCCCCCCCCTTTCCCTCCCCGGGCCGGCTCAGCTGCGCTGCGGAGGAGGGAAGTGGGCTTGGAACGGCGCGCGGAGCCCCCCGAGCCTCACCCCCCTTTCCCCCCCCCCCGGGCCAGGCAGGCAGCCCCCGGCCAGATGGAATAGTCATTGCGGGAGGAAACGGCACCACACAAAGGCCCCGAAACCGCTTCCTCCCGCCGAGGCTCGTGGCCGTCCATCTCTCCGCGGGGCCGGCCCGGGATGATGCTCCGTGGGGCCGGGATGATGCTCCCGGGGCAGGGATGATGCTCCCGGGGCTGGGATGATGCTCCGTGGGGCCGGGATGCTGCTCCCGGGGCTGGGATGCTCCCGCGGGGCCGGGATGCTCGGGAGCCCACCCTTCCCACCCCGCGGGCCGCCAGGAAGGGGGATTATTTGGGGTTTGTTGTGTTGTGTCTCTGCGCGGCGGGCGCGGGGCCAGAGCGGCTCCGGCGGCTGCCAGAGAGTGAGAGAGAGAGAGAGAGAGAGAGAGGAGCGGGAGCGCTCCGGGAGCAGGGAATGCTCCAGGAGCAGGGAGTGCGCAGCACGGGGGCAGGAGAGCCGGGCCAGGCCCGGGATTAAACGAGCTGCCGAGCTCGCAGGCGGGCCAGGCACGGCCCTGAGTGACAGCCGGGACAGAGCCGGGACAGAGCCGGGACAGAGCCGGGACAGAGCCGGGACAGAGCCGGGATGCGGCGCTTCCCAAAGTCCTGCCGGCTCGGGGCAAGGCAGGTGCCCGGTCTGAGAGAATTCCAGGCTGGTTTGGGTGGGAAGGGGAACTTCAAAACATCGCCCCGTTCCACCCCCCCCGCCACGGGACACACCTCCCACGAGCCCGGGTCGCTCCAAAGCCCCGTCCAAGCACTTCCAGGGACGCCCCGCGGGATCAGGGAATCACAGAGTGGTTTGGGTGGGGAGGGGTTTTAAGGATCACCTCGTTCCAACTCCCCCTGCCACGGGCAGGGACAGCTCCCGCTATCCCAGGGTGATCCAACCTGGCCTGGGACATTTCCAGGGATGGGGCAGCCACAGCTTCTCTGGGAATTCCATGCCAGACCCTCACCACCCTCCCAGCCAGGAATTCCTTCCCAATTTCCCATCTCACCCTGCCCTCTGGCAGTGGGAAGCCATTGGAATTTGAAGCCAGGCCAAGGGGAGTTTGGGAGCACCCCGAGCTGTGCCCAAGGTGATCCCATGGGGTGATCCCATGGGGTGATCCCACAGGGTGATCCCACAGGGTGATCCCGGATGGATCAGCACCCACCAGTCACCTGTGGGGAAGGAGCCAAGGGGGACAGGGACACCAAAGAGCCCTTCCCTGGGCTGGCACATCCACAGGGATGGCACTACCCACCACAGAGGGGTCAGTCAGGACCCTCCACCCTCACGGATCCGGGTGTTCCACCCCAAATCCGAGGTCCTGTTCCAAACCACTGCCACGTCCTGCCAGCTCCTGGCCCTGGGACACCCCTGGCATTGCCCAAATGGTCCTGGAGCTCTGGCAGCTTCGGGGCCGTGCCCCAGGAATCATGGAATTATTTAGGGTGGAAAAGCCCTCTGAGATCAGAGTCCAACCATCATCCCAGCCCTGCCCGTGTCCCCAGGGCTGGGCAGCCCCTTCCAGGAGGGATTTTCCCCAACATCCCACCTGAGCCTCCCCTGGCACAGCTCCAGCCGTTCCCTCAGCTCCTAATAATGCCGAGGATTAGTGCCCCGAAACCCCGATAATTCCACCCGACTCAGGCAAACGCTGCTCAGATTTTCCATCTCCCAGGGAAAAAAAACTCTCCACTTCGCCCCCGACGACGGCACAGCCACGGGTTATTCCCAAAACTTCCCCCCACAGCTCAGGTGAAATCCAGGGCAGACGGATTAATCGGGATGAGGTTCCCTGTTAATTGGGCCGAGGCTGCGGCGGGTCCCCACAAACCCCCCAAATCCCGGGATAACCCCGAATTCCCAAGGTTTTCCCGGCCCCACGTTGCGTCCAGACTGTCCCTGCTGTGTCCCCCCCTCCCGCCCCCGGTGTCACATCCCAAAGGCAGGAAGCAGAAGCCTCAGGGATCTGGGGGAAGAGATAAATAGGAGGAGGGAGGGGAGGGGAGGGAGGGAGGGAGGGAGGGAGGCTGGGAATGGGGAACGAGGAACAAAAGCCACTGGAAGCAGCTCTGATGTCAACAGGTTCGGAATCAGCTCCCCCCACCGGGGCCCTGCAGCAGGACCAGCTGGGAGAGAGACCTTGGAATTCCTGCATGAAAGGCTGGGGGGTTTTTGCTGGAGACATTACACAAGTGTATGTTTTCTATAGTCATTTATTTCCCCGCTCCCGAAATCTCTATTCCAGACCCGGGGGCTGCGGCGGCTCCGGCTCAGCCCAGGTGGGCCCCTGATCCCACCTCCAGGAAGGGCCGGCTCCTTCCACAGGGATTGGAGTGGGAACAGGGAGTCCCTAAAGGCACCAGGCACCACAATCCCAGAGCCTCTGGATTGTCCAGGAACAGGGAATCCCTATAAACACCAGGCACCACAATCCCAGACCCTCTGGATTGTCCAGGAATAGGGAATCCCTAAAGGCACCAGGCACCGCAATCCCAGAGCCTCTGGATTGTCCAGGAACAGGGAATCCCTAAAGGCACCAGGCAATGCAATCCTGGAGCCTCTGGATTGTCCAGGAACAGGGAATCTGGACCCTCTGGATTGTCCAGGAACAGGGCATCCCTAAAAATACCAGGCAACACAATCCCAGACCCTCTGGATTGTCCAGGAACAGAGCATCAGAACCCCTTGGATTGTCCAGGAACAGGGCATCCCTGAAAACACCAGGCACCACAATCCCAGAACCTCTGGATTGTCCAGGAGCAGGGAATCCCTAAAGGCACCAGGCACC